TCGGATCGTTGCTGTTGAATGAGATCCCGTAGGTTCTGCACGCGTTCTGAAGACGGGCTTTGGACCAGCCGTATCGGGGGGTGTCATGCGGTAAGCACTTATGATACTTGGCGTTGTCCATCACGATTGCGACGTTAGATTGACCCAAGGCATCGAGCTCGTTCAGCAAGGTAACAAACCAATCCACAAAGTACTCGTGGTTGAACATTGCGTGGTAGTCTTTCGGCTCCTTTCGTCGGATCTTCCCACCTTGGAAGATGTCGAGTGCAAGTAGTTTAGATTGCTGGGGTCCACCATCTAATATTGCCGCAATAAAGCAATATCTTTGGCCTTTGTGTTTTGCTTTTACTTGCAAATCTTGTTCGTCATTCGGATCGTACAAACTGTCTTGATGTCGAGCGTAGTGGTGGTGGACGTAAGATTCGTCCAGATAAACAACCGGTTGATTCGCGGCAGTTACTCGAGCCATCATATCGGACACATAAGTGTCGCGCAAAATGGCGTTTCGTTCGGCCAGGGCAAAGGTTAGTTGGCCGTTTATTTTTCCACGTTTATAGCCAAGGCGAACGAGTAACCGCCGAACGTTTCGACATGCAGACAGGACAGCTCGGGGGTTGGACACATCGAGTGTCAAAATTTGATGCTCTTGTAATAGAGCCAACACGTCTTTTGCAACGGTTCGTGTGCGGGAAAGTCGTCGATCGCGCACAAACGTTTGGATGAGCGTAGTTACTTTCTTTGTGAGCGGAACTCGTGTAGCATGATTGGTTTTGTTGGAAGGTGGGGTGACCGTGCATACAGTTGATGTAGCTTTATATTGTCGCCACACATCCTTGACCACTTTCAGGCTGCGACCAAGTATTCGAACAAGTATTCGAGCGATGTGACCGGAAGCGTCTTCCATCCCCTCTTTGTTAGTTAGGCTAGGTGGGCGACTCTGCTTGATAAACCCACTGATCTTGTCGAACTCGGCCGTGGCAATCGTTGGTGGTGGTCGGACCATATTCGTGGAATGATAAATATTGACAGGATGACCGCGATGGTACAGAAACGCATGAACTCGTAATACAAGTTAACAATTTTGTGACATCATTTTTCATGACAAGATACAGGATATTAGGACAAAGGAGTCAAATTGACAATCATTCACATCTTTGAAGTAGAATACTCTAAAGGGTAATACCCTTTAGAAGGAATTCGTTTGAATAGTTCGTTTCAGCTCAACGAGCTGCATCGATTAATGTATCCCATGTCCACAAGAACTCGCTCCGTCCTTGTGTACGAGTAAACGACCCCTGGTTGATGCCCACCACTGTGAGTGTTGTGACATGCATACATTGATTGGTTTAAGGAGGTTTTGCCGCTAAATTCGTAAGCTTATGATTGGGTACTTTTCGTTCACCATAGCATGGTCCGTGCACCTTAGTTTGGTCTTTTACGTTACGTGCGATTCGAGCACGACTGGCTCAAGAGCCCTGTTGTAACCCACGCAACCCGTCTCGGATCGACACTAGGTACCCGGTAATGTTGCATCAGCAACTAAACCCCACCAGCACACACGAGGTAGGAGATATGATGGAGCGTGTACCATGAACGAGAATACACATCACATATCCGCTCGTTTGTGATGTGAATAATACTCGTCGTAGAGCATCCAAAGAAAGTGCTTTCGCTCGGACAATGGCTATTCGGCGCTCGAAGTGCTTTTTTCCGTCGTCATGAACCAAACAAATAGTACGTGGATGAGTTATCTCGAGTTCATTGCACCCCGCTATGACTCTCTACAGGAAACGTGACCCTGTCCTAACAGTACTTGTATACGGGAATTCGTTACATAATCAATGTGTACTTTCGTACAGTGACGCGACAAACGTCGTACGCAACAGTGACAGTGCACTTGAATAAGGCAAAATTTCTGTCGTTGGACTGTCACTTCGTTGCACGGGCCGCGCGGGTGACGCCAACGAATACATCGCCTGCCGCGTTGAAAAGTGCACTTGTGCATTTGCCAATGCAGAGGTGGGAGACGGACGGACCGACTTTGCTCGGTAGCAACTACACAGCACGTAACACAACCTAGCGGACATGCCACAAATCGTACGCACCAACGCGATGTCGTCGGGGAATCGACAAGTTTATGATACGTGGACGTGGGAACTGCGCCATGGAAAATCGGGGGGGGCTGGTGTCTTGTGTCAGCCTTGGAATGAAAATGGTGTGCGTACTGAATGTGGCTTGATACGTACCGTCGCCAATAAGTAGAGGATAAAATCAATGAAGACATGCCATTCGGGAGCAGATTCTACAGTGGATACCTGTCACATAGCGGTGCAGTGTCACGTGGAGTTGCCGGCGACAGGATCCTTTGGCCGCACTCAAATCCCCCACGAAATTGTCCGCAGCGAAAAGTATGCGATCGGCGTCGCCAATTTGTTAAAGGCGGTGAGTGCTTGTGTAGGTTCTGTGTCCGCTACAGGACAGAGCAGCAAGCCGAAGATGCCAATCAACCGCATGACCGGACCAACCTTCCACAAGCACACACTTTGCAAAGCACGATGCACGCAGCACTTCCACGGTCGTTCCTTCGAGGTCGCCTTTTCAAAGCAACGTGTGGGCGCGCCATCTCCTCTGGCCTCCCCTTCTCCGTTGCATCTGCCGAGCCACAAATCACTGCAACTTCCGCCGATCCTGTCCCAAACCTCCTTCGTTCGACAGCAACACCAAATGTGTTCTCTTCACCGATCCCGTCCGTGCCATGGTTTCCTCAGCGTCGCCAAGATTTGGATTTGTGCGCCCAGAACGTACGTGATCACGGGGCGATGATTCCTTGGCCGTGACATTGGCGTGTGTGTGTCCGATAGGCTTTGGAAGTTGACTTGGATCCCGATGACCCCGGACTAAATGTAATGTCACTCAAGTCGGTGGGCGCGTCACCTCACTGTTCTCTCGCTTGGGCAGGATCCTGCGTATTGCGCTCGGCGTCAGATTCTGCGCACGAATGTCCTGAACTATCGCCAAGGTCAGGAGCTGCCGTACGTCGACTACAACGAGTTGGAAACCCAGACATGGAACACGATCTACTCGACGATCCGCCCCAAGTGGATGACGTACGCATGCGAGGAATACCACGCAGTCCTGGCCCTCCTCGAACGAGAGATTGGGTACAGCGCGACGGCAATTCCACAATTTCGAGACGTGTCCGGGTTCTTGCAAGCCACGACAGGGTTTACCCTGCACCCCGTCACGGGGTACCTCACTCCTCGTGACTTTTTGAACGGCCTGGCATTTCGAGTGTTCTTTTGCACGCAGTACATCCGCCACCACTCTGTGCCGTTCTATACACAAGAGCCTGACATTTGCCACGAAATCATGGGCCATGTCCCGATGTTTGCGGTGGGTTTGGATGCGACGTTCCACGCTGACTGCATGCTGTAGGACGCCGACTTTGCCGACTTTTCCCATGAAATCGGCCTCGCGTCCCTCGGTGCGTCGGACGATGAAATTGTGCGGCTCGCAGCCGTCTACTTCATCTCTGTGGAATTTGGCATGTATCGTCGTGACGGACAGGTCAAGGTAGGCAAGTTGGCGGAGCAAGTCCACTTGTTCATGCATGTCTTGTCCAGGCATTTGGAGCTGGCCTGCTTTCCAGCATTTCCGAACTGGAGTTTGCATGCAACCCAACACGGCCAGCAGGCGGTCGACATGACTACGCCGAGTACAGAAAGTGGTGCCCTTTCGAAGCCTCCAAGCAATCGTATCCTGTCACCGAGTACCAGCCATACTACTACGTGTCGGACAGCGTGGTGAGTCGTCGTCGACGGCGGCGTCCCCATCCAGTTTCTCATGCGTATCACACGTGTACAGGAGCAAGTGAAGGATGGCGTCCGACAGTACATTCGGTCGATGGATCGACCATTTGACGCGTCGTACGATGCTGCCACCAACACCATCCTTACAAACAAGCATGTGCACGTGATGCCAAGGCACATGTAGATGGTATGCGCGAGCATAATTTGTGAAAACACTGCTAACTCGTGTAACCAAGAATGCACTACGCCTTGAGCAACTTGGCACGATGCGTCTATATCTTTCTTTCGCTCTCAAGGTCCAATAATACGAAGTTGGTCGACAAATTGGGGACCACCCCAAAGCACAGGCGGCACACCGACAGAGAGGGAGCACCCTACGAGGCTGGGACGACAGGAAGTGCCTTCCTGACGGATGCGTACATTCAGCTGCACGTATCATATCATGCTTTAGTACTTACGCCATGTCGTGGGGCGCACGTCCATATGTGTCGGGCCGTGTTCACATATCCCGTTGGAACACGACTCTACGTGTCCTTGGGGACGAGAATAACTCTCGCCCGGCACAAGGGCTGTCCCCCAGGCTGGACGCGCCCAACGAGTTGGGAATACCTTCTTGCCCAGCCAGCACCTTCCAACGACGACACACGAGTGACACGGAGTTGTCTCGATGCGGCTGCGTCGTGTATCACAAACTGCACACAATCTTTCGCCTCCGAACGTCGCAAGGTCGACAGGCCCTCCGACCAGACAGACCAAGAATCTTGGCAATGATACCCAAAGTGAAAGTTCTGGGAAGACGAACAACACACGTGCCGCTTCGATTGGCGAAACGTGGCGACGCCGTCGACGCCAGCCGTGCTTGATCTCTTCGTTGGCCCACCCATGTTGTCGAGTGTATGCATTGCGATGCCGTGCTCATGATTTGAGACAGCGTTGCACGTCCGATGTCGTGCGAACTGTTCGGGGCATTGACTCAGATGGTCAGATCGCCGCGAGGCGATTGATGACCCTCTGTGCCATATGTTCGTCGTAGGTAGCCGTCGACGTGGGACCACTTGAACATCGTCAGCGTCCGACGCATGCGATACGCGGTGGACCCGCCAACGTCGAGTTTAGAGTCCCCCATCACGGATTCCCAAGTGCTCCAGTCTGTGCGCGGTCCGGCTCGGGACGTCTACGTGCGGCTGTCGCAACCGTACACCCATGACGCGGACTCACCGATGCTGGACGACAAAAAAGCAGAGGGATTGCATCCACGCAGCGGCGATGTTCAATCCAACGTGTGGTCGATGCGTGCGGCATTGTATGCAGCTGTCTTTTCAACCGAAGCTGCCATTCTCGCCGGCGCCGCGCTTGGCGTGATGATATCGTACATCATATCGATTTCCACCGACGTGTCGGACAAGCTGGCCAAGTTTGACGCACTGACCAAGGCCAAGAGTCCCATGGCGACGCAACTGGCGGCCTTTAATGAACTCCTACACACACGTCAGTCTTGGAGCAAATGGCTACAAATTCCCGGCAACATGTACATCAGCGGACTTCAATGCTGCATGGTGCCGCTGATTTATTGTGCGGTCGTGATTGGCATCACCCATATGAGCCAGCATCTCAAGGTCCATGGAATCGCATGGCGGTTTGTTGTGTATGGTATCATGACGGCAATCGCGGCATCGTCCTTGGGGCTTGGTTTGATGGCTGCCATTCCCGACAACTTGATCGTGTCGTCCCCAATGTGGCGTCCAACCACGCTGCCACCGCAAGACATGTCCGTCGACATGCCACCGCCCCCCACTACCCCCACCAGCGCTTTCGAGTGTCCAAAAGCACCATCGGCACCTCCGACGTATCTCGGAATCAATGGGACCACACTCCAGTTTACGTGCATCAGCAAGGCCCAGAACATTTCAATCATAACTCCCATGGTTGGAACTGACGTGTTGGGGAAATTACCGTCAACGTCACCATCCGACCTTGTATTCGATGTCGTGCTCAACATGTTTCCCAAGTCTTTGGTCGGGTCGTTTGCTCAACTCGACGGATTCCTCAGCGTGTCGGTCGCGTCCGTTGTGATCGGGGCGGCCACTGCCAGCTGTGCGGACGAAAACCATTTTGTCCTCGTGGGGGTCCTGCAAGAGCTGCACGCAATCCTGCTCACCATGATTCAGATGATCGTGCGCTGGACACCGGTGGCCATCTTCTCCATTGTCTCGTCTTCGCTGGTCGTAAATGTGCCGACGACGTGGAACTTTCCCAGCGACGCGACCGTGCCGGATGGTCAGCTTGAACGAATGATGAGTGTGCCATTTGCGCAGGCCAAACTCCTTTCGTCATCATTCTTTGAAAGCGAGTCGATCGCCGACATGGGAATTCCAGCTCTAGTCGGTGTGTTTGGAGTCGGCACCATTCTGCATTGCGTCGTCCTGCTGCCACTCTTCACGTTGGCCATGATTCAGCAGAATCCGTTTGCGTACGCCAAGCAGCTCGCAAGACCCCTTGGGATTGGGTTCTGCATTGCGTCGTCGTTGGCGTCGCTGCCCATGGTGACCGAAGCCATGTTTGTATGCCGATCCGCATCCAAAGAACTGACGCAGGCCGTGCTGTCCCTCGGCACCATCATGCACCTCGACGGCGCCGCATTTTACTTTGCTTCGTGCATTACGTTTCTCGTTCGTACACAAGGCATCGACCTGACTGGAGACCTCGCTGCGAAGATTCTGTTGGTCTCGGTGATCCACTCGTGGAGTTGCCCGCCCCTTCCTCACGGTGGCATCCTCACCCTCGGTGCTCTATGGTACACGATCGCGCCAGGAGAAATGTACCACCGAAACTTCAGCGCGCTCGTCGCAATTGACTTTGTGCTCGATCGGCTCTGCACGCTGATGAGCGTATGGTCCAACACACTGGTCCTTCGCATCATCGCCGACCAGACACAAGAATTGTACTACGACGACGCGACTGGAGACGACGACGCCAGTGTCGTCGTGGAGGCCCCTGAAGGCGCCTTGAACTACGACGATTATGGAGACGTGCTGCTGTCGTCACGCCAGTTTTCGTACATGCCGGAGATCGCCCCGGCTCCCCAGTGATTCGTGTTTCGTGATGTAAAGTGAGTTGGTGGGTTGTGCCATTCGTTTGCATTCGATTAAAGTCTCCCGCATCAAACAGGGAGGCTCGACAAGTTTGCTTTGGACAACATGCTTGCTTGTGCGATCCCTCAACAACTAAACGTTGACTTGATCCTGTAGCCAGGTCGTCGTCACCCAAATAAAGCACCTCCTGATCACGAGGTGGCGGCCGGGGACCTCGATATATCCTCCTCCATGTTGTACAAGTGAGAGGCACCACGAGCCTTGGCCAGGGCAGGACCGCTCGTTGTTGGCTCGATGTGGCCGTGCCCACCCAACAACACCGCTGTAATGGGGGGACAAAATCGCACTGTGCGTGGATCTGTTCAGTGGTCCAGAACATTACGTTGGTCGGCCAACCGAGGCGGCAGACCAGCCCCACGAGCCAATGCCGTCCAAACTCTCTTATCCCATCCGCCGTAGTACAACAACACGCCACCTTCGTCGGGGAACCAGGGCGACCCGGCAAGGGCACACAACTATCGCCGGCGCCCCCCCCGCGCCACGACGTGAGTAACACCACCGTTTCCGAGCCAAACATGTTCCGCCACTGCGGTACACAGTTGTTGGCACACTTCCGACTTGGTCGTCTGCACACGGACGATGGATTCCGACTACAGCATGGACAGCCCGCGGTCGACGCTCGACGACGTGAACGGGGCGTACAACCTTCGGCGCCGCGGATTGATGGACGACCATGCGTGGAAGATGCAAGGCGCGTGGCACAAGCGCATGTACTTTGGCGAGTGGGGCATCCTTGTTGGCATCCTGTTGGGGATTGTCACGGCCATTTGCGTCGACGCGATCTCAACGGCAGCGCCGAAAGACTTTGACACACAAAGCGAATCGCTTGCGTTGTGGCACGCCGAATTGACCCGGATGACGGACGTGGTCAAGTTGAGACACTTGCTCAACAAGTGGATCGGCCTGCCTGGCGTGCTCTTCATTCGATCCCTCACTCTGTGGACGGTCCCGTATGTCTTTACCTCGATCGTGGTTGGCGTGGCCGAGCTCGTTCGGTTCACCAAAGCCAAGCACGTCGTGTGGCGGTTTATCTCGCTCAGCCTCGTCACGACCGTGTCGGCCTCGCTGCTCGGCCTTCTACTCATGCACATCCCACCGACAAGTTGGGTCACTCCAAAGCAGTTGACGCAACTTCAGCCGCTTGGCACTCAAGCAGCGCCCGAATGTCCTGTCGTGGGCTCCAGCAAGTACGTTCTCGCCATCAACACGACGTCCCAAGCCATTGCATGCGTGAAGGAATCGGCACTTTACCCCGTCACGGACGTGTACGAGTTTGCAATGTTCTTGGACCCCAAAACCACGTCGGCAGTGAGCGGATGGGATTCAGTGTACAACATGACGCTCGAGTTGGCCCCGGACAATCTTGTGGCGCAGTTCATGGACGAAAACAGGCTCAGTGGCGTTGTCGTCGTGGCTGTGCTCGTGGGGCTTCTTCTCGGCGCCAACCGAGTCGAGTACATTGGCACGTTGCTGCAACTGGTCGCCGAATTGCACGTGTATTTCCGATGCATTCTCCGATGGGTCGTCAACACTGTTCCAATTGCCATCATGTTTTTGGTAGCGTCGTCGCTGATTGTCCCGGACGCATCGTTTCTCGACATGGGAACGTTGTCCGTGCCGCCACTGAAACCCGCCAACGTGTCTGCAAGCGAGCGCGACGCGAGCCTTGTCTTGTACAAATCCTTGGTCGACGTGCTCAAGAGTTCGACGCACACGGTGTTTTCCAACGCGTCGGACGACCTCAAGCTGCTGGCAGTGCTGGCGTCCGTGTTTGTTTGTGGGGCGATTGTCCACTGCTTGGTCGTGCTGCCAGTCGTGGCGTTTATTGCAACGTCCCGCCGCAACCCATTTGTGTTTATGAACGGCCTTCGCTCCGCCATGGCATTCGGGTTTGGGTCGTCGTCCTCGATTGCATCGTTGCAAGCGCTCGCTCAGTGCATCGATTCGACGCGGCTCGTGTCGAGACAGATCACGGACGCCTTGCTTCCGATCGCGACGACCATGCATTCGGACGGTGCAGCGTTCTACTTGAGCGCGTGCACTGTGTTTCTCCTACGTGCCCAGGAGAGTACGATCGATGTCACCATGTCCGTCGAAGTGTTTTTCCTCTCCATCCTGCAATCGTGGACGTGCCCCCCCGTGCCTGGCGGGGGCACGATGGCCTTGACTGCGATGTGGGTCATTCTCAAGGGCCGTGCCCCCACGTACTTCTTCTGGGTGCTAGCTCTCGATGCATTGTTGGATCGGTTGGCCACCGTCATCAGCATGCTCTCGAATGCAATCATTACGTGGGTGATCGCCGAGCAAATTGACGAAACCTACATCGACGAAAAAGATCGAGACCTAGCGACGCGCCACCGGACCCACGACGAATCCGCGACCCATGGAGAAAGGCAAAAGGACAGCGGTCATGAGTGAATCCCCGTGACGGCGAGTAGGTTCGTGGCGGCGAGAGATAAAGCTCCTCGCACATGGTAATGCATGGAATCAAGCACTCGAATCGAGTGTTGGCAGATTCAGGATCAAGGTGGGGACCGCTTTCTACATGACCCAATACTGCCATGCTGCCCCCACTGGCCCAAGATGCCAGATCTAGGACCGCGGCAACGGAACTTACTCTAGTCAACTTGGACGCAAGACAACACAGCAGAGCGTTCGTGTGGTTGTCGAGGGAAGGACATCGCGACGTGTCATCCAGAGTTCGTGCAGGGAGTGCGCTTCAGTCACTAGCAGTGCATCTGGTTTTTCATCACAGGGCAACAGCAAAAGCGAGCGGAATTTTACAAACGAGATGTAGGATCAACATCCGGTCATGTATGCACTTGTGGATGTGCAGAGTGAGATGGATAGAGGATGCGTCCCTCTGGTGCGTCCCAAGCACGTGAATACGGACGTGCGACTTGTCTTCTGCTGTCCATCTCTTTACCGCTTCGGACGTGCGTCATGCTTTCTGCGTTCCATCTTTTGACCGCGCCATGATGCCCTCAGAGTGTCCCACAGAGCTCCACAGCGTACGAAGACGTGGGGCGCTTGGGCAAATGAGCACGCCCTCGCAACCCACTTTCGTGCGGCAAAATACCATAATCGTTCAAGAGTGTGGTCAACTCAAATAAGGAAAGGTTGTCGACGAGTTGGCGTTTTTGCTTGAGACGAGAGCCCATGGAGTGCGGCGTGCTCGACAGGATCAGTACTGTAAGTTAGCCAGAGCCAGCTTAGTGGGTGCCACCGAGTTGTACTCCAAGGTACGGACGCCAAGAGTCCAACGACATTTCCCAGTGCCGTCGACGAACGCCCAACTTTCCTGGAGTGTACACAGGAACCCAACGTGCAAACTCTCAAGACTCGACAGGTCAGTCGCTCATATTGACGATATTGACGATTCTGCGGTATAATGCAGAGTTTGAGGACCTTCCACCTGACAAAGTGACATCCAACCATATTTGTGTCGGAGGTTCGTCGAGTGGACAAAGGTCCAAGAGGTTTCCCGTCTTGAGGATATACTGCGTTTGCTATAGCTATTCAACTTTACCCCTGGTGCATCTCCGGACCTGAAGGTATGGCCCGTGGCTCAGTAGTGCGCGCAATTGCGCCCCCCCCTTGAGGGGCACTATTCCTGAATAGGGCCGACATCGTACTCTGAGGACAGTCTTCGTGTCGCAGACGAATCCTCGTCGTATAATTCCCGTGTGGCCGAGCGAAGTGCCGCCGTCGTTGTTGGATTTGGTCGCCTCCCAAACCCACCCCACCCCACGTTTCGAGCAATTCATGACAGGAACGGTGTCATGTATTCGGGTCCAACTTGTCGCACTGTCGGCCCAACAGCAATTTGTGCGAAAACACACCTGCTACATGTCTGGTGGGTCTTGAAATTCCCCACATCAGTACAGCAATGGCTCACTGTGGGAAAGGGATGGCCACGATGCCGCTGTTCCCAAGACGAAAGAGCATTCGATGGCACGCGAACTTCGGATCCACGCACTCGTCCGCCCACGCTTGCTTACTTAGCGTCGCTGACCCGGGACGACCCTGTCATGCGTACTTTACTAGGCAAATATGTATGCGATTTTGAATGACTCTGAGGTTGGTTATCCCACCCCAGTGCCGATGTCTGGTCGTTGTGTCTCTGTTCGCACTGCAAGTACTGATCCTGCGTTTCGCACGTTCGCCCAATGCGTCCAACTGTACCCAGCCAGGGTGTCGCCAACGCTGGAATCCATGGATATATATTGGAATTTGCCCTCGCCCCGACGCCACCATGGACGGACACCTCGCCACTCGTTCCGCCGACGACCAGCATCCGCATGGTGCTGTGTACCCAACCACTCCGTTTCAATCAGCGGCAGTATTGTCGCGTTCAGGGCGGCAACACGATCCCGTCACGATGGTGCACCAAGTGAAGATTCCTTTGCCGGAGCATACAGGGGCAACGGAATTGTGTGCAGCGTGGGAAACGCTCTCCATGCGCTACGACGTCCTTCGATCGACGTTTATCACCGATCCAACTACCCACGACGCGCTGCTTCGACTACAGCGCGACCACTGTTCCAACCTCCGCCTCCAACAGGACACGGACACTCTGCACGACTCCGAACGCGTGTTTCACGTAGGCGATGACTTTTTCAGTCGGCTCACGGTGGTGGCAGTGGAACCTGCACTTTCGAACTACGCGCTGTTGACCATCCATTGCGCATTATGCGACCACGCGTCGCTCCACGCCGTGTTGGCCGACTTCAAGGACATCTTGCGCTTGGGGCCAACGTCGCAGACACAGCCATGCGCATCACGCGTCGAAAGTGTCGTTGACGCTGTCGCGACCGTCCAAGCTGATAGCGCTCGCACTCGAACATTCTGGTCGAAAGATTTGGCCAATTTGGAACCGTCCAAGTCATTGCTAACACCCATCGTGGCGCTTGCACCGCATAGCAATCGAGACATGACATCTCGTGTGATCGTTGTATGCGCGCTGGCCAAACATTTCTTGACCCATGCAGCGGACAGTCTCGGCACAACTGTAGACGTGTTGACCAAGGCGGCATGGGCTGCAACGATTCGAAAGTACACGAGATCGGACGACGTCGTTTTTGGACAAGCGATTTCTTGCCACGACTGTCCAACATCCGCTTGCCAAGGGTACACTGGAAATTTGATGGCATGGATAACCGAAGGTTTCGTGTAGGAACGTCGGTCCATTGAGAGGAGTTGTCCCGTGCCGAGTTCAGTTTTCGGACTGCCAGTCTGTGACTTCCTTTTTGTCCCAAGTTCACGACCACGACCGAGCAATAGTCGAGCATGGTTACGTCAGTGCGCTGCAAGTGGCTCGGTATTGCGGCCATGAAGACGTAGATTTTGTCGACACGTTGTTCGAGTTTCTACATGGCGATGCCCCCAAGTCAATGGCCCACGAAATCGTAGCTACTGCCAACATGGGCAGCTCCTTGCACGTGACTATTGTTCCGGACGAGGTGGCCTTGACCATTGTGTGCACTTTCGACTCGACACGTTGGCCATTGGCGCAAGTGGAAGCGCTGGTGACCGAGCTTGATTTTACGCTGACGAACTTGAACGCTTTGATTGACCAAGGTGGCAACGTCGAGCAACTTTGGACTTTGTCCCCTGCCCAAACTGCCGTCATCGCAAATGCTTCTACGAGCGGTCAGCAACCGCTTCCTTGGGAACTCCTCCATCACGCATTTGAAAGCCACGCGTCTCATCGGCCCGACGCAAGTGCTATCGAATTTGAAGGGGCAACGATGTCGTATGGCGACCTGAATGCCCGCGCCGACAGTGTGGCATCCAAACTTACTGACATGGGTGTGTGCGTTGGCTCTCGCGTCGCCGTCGTGATTGAACGATGTCTTGAATTCCCTCTTGGACTCTTGTCGATTGCAAAGGCCGGAGGAGTATTTATGGCCCTGGACGCAACGTTTCCGACCAATCGACTCGACTTTATTCTGAGGGACGCGAGCGTCGTGGCGATTGTCACGACGGAGGCATATCGGTCGCGTGTGGATGAACTGCAATTGACCCTGCCAACTTTGTACATCGATGCCAACGAACCCATCTCCAACGCCTACGTCGGGTTTTCGCCAGCACTTCATCAAATCGCTTGCGCCGACGACGAAGCGTACGTTGTGTACACTTCGGGCTCGACAGGGAAACCCAAGGGTGTGCCCGTCTTTCACAAGAGCGCAGTAAACACGGTGGCGTTCGGCTGCGATGCTCCCAAGCTCAAGGAAGGTGTCCGCGTGTGTCAATATATGGCAATTGGGTTCGATATGTGTCAGTGGGAAGTGTGGGCATCGCTGTCGCATGGAGCCACCCTTGTGATGCGAAGCAACGACGGGTTTGATATTTTAAAGACAGTCGACGTCTTGGCGACCATTCCCACGGGCCTCGCGTTGCTCGGAGATCCTGCTCAATATCCTCAATTCAAGTGCGTCTACACTGGCGGTGAAGCGCTTCCAACGTACCTGAAGGATCTATGGTGCGACAACGTTGCGCTCGTGAATGCGTACGGGCCAACAGAGGGAGCGATGATCACACATGTCGAAACCATGTCGAGAGATAAAGTGGTGACACTTGGAAAGCCGTTGGCAAATGTGACGTCCTACGTGTTGGATGACAACCAGCGGCCAGTGCCTGTTGGAGTCGTTGGCGAGCTGTACTTGGGCGGTGTGTGTGTCTCGCCTTGCTACATCAACTTACCTCACCAAACGCAAGAGCGGTTTTTGACCGATCCGTTCACTGGCGGACGCATGTTTCGTACGGGCGACTTTGTTCGGCTACTGCCGACTGGCAACATGGACATTCTCGGCCGAAGGGACAACCAAGTCAAGTTGAACGGTTACCGTATTGAGCTGGACGAAATTGCCGAAGCCATGATGCAGCACCCGGATGTGTCCACCGCCGCGGTCATCGTGAAGGACAAGGTGCATCTCGTGGGGTACTATTTCCCTCCGACCGTCGACCTGAAAGCACTGCAGCAAACTGTCACCGATCAACTTCCCGCCTACATGGTCCCTTCGATCTGGGTTGGCCTCTCTGTCATGCCGCAAAACGCCAACGGAAAGACAGACAAGAAGGCTCTCGAGGCGATGGATATCGTGCTGAACGTCGAAGCGTTGGAGACGGCCGAGCAGCAGCGAATGGCAGAAGTTTGGGCCGACGTACTGGGCACGAATTTGTCTGACATTGGTCGGACAACGTCGTTCTACGCTCTTGGCGGGGATTCCATCTCGGCCATTCGTCTCGCTGCCAAGGCCAAAAGCGCAGGGTTTGGTCTAACGTCTCGCGTCATCATGAAGAACCCTATCTTTGAAAACATGGTCCGTTTGGCAACTGCATGCGCACCCAGCGATGCAATCGACAATGCGTACAAAGGAGAAGTGTCGGGCACAGTCACACTGACGCCCATCCAACACTTCAACTTCAGCCACGAATGGGTGAACCCTCACTTTTGGACGCAGTCCATTACCCTGAAGCCTCGTCGCGTTCTCAGCATGGACGAGCTTGTTCGCGCCGCATCTCAACTTGAAACGCACCACGACATGCTTCGCGCACGGTTCGAGTTGTCTCCAACTGGAGTATGGTCGCAGTATATTCCCATGCGGACAGTGCCCGAACGCCCAAATGTTGAATTTGTTGACCTCGAGAACGAAGAAGACCTCGACGCAGCAGTGATGGTCAAAGAAAAGTCCCTCAATTTGTTCACAGGGCCTGTGTACGCTGTGACTGTGTTTCAGACGCCATCGAATTCCCAGTTCTTGCACATCACGATTCATCACACATTGGTGGATCTGGTATCGTATCGAATCCTTCTGGATGACTTGCAAGCGCTCTTGTGCAACAAACCCCTTGGGCCCAAGTCGATGCCATTCAAGGTTTGGGCTGAACATCTTGCGTCCCAAGCGCTGGAATGGAATCCGTCCAACTGGTCCGACTACTTGTACGAAGATGCTTGTCCACCAGAACATGGGTACGTCACAAACATACAGCGATTCATCCTGGCTAACGACTTGGCAACCTAGCATTGTCGGCAAGGTTCAATCCACTGGCATTTTACCCGAAGCGATCGCGAATAAGCTTGATGCGGCTAACGCAGTGTACGGCACAAATGTCCAGGACTTGGCACTTGCAGCGCTGACGTGCGCGTATGGTGAACTTCTGCAAGGGGACTCCATTGAAGGTTATGCCCTCCCACTCATGCTCGAAGGCCACGGCCGTGAACCGTGGTCAACGGATCTTGACGTGTCCACTACCGTTGGTTGGTTTACCAGTGTGTACCCGATTGTGCTTTTCGCGACATCCAACCTTGCAAATCTCGTGCGTCAAGTCAAGCAAAAACTTCGTGCAGTTCCAGACGGCGGCATCTCGTACGGTGCGCTGAAGTATATGGTCCCGGTCACCGAATCCACGCAAACCATTGTGTCCCACCGCCACCACAACATGACTTTCAACTATGCTGGTCGGTTCCAGGAATTGAATTCGGGCAACAGTTTGTTCGAGGCACTGCATGGCGTGAAGGACGTATTGGGCCCAGATGAGCATCATTTCAGTGGCGAGAACTTGTTTCTCCATCACGTCGATGGCAATCTCGTCTTGGACGTGAACGTTGCTGATTGGCTCTTCACTGTTGTCGACGTCCAGAAGCTGACCAAGTTGTGGGCCACGTGGATGGAGAAAATAATTGACCATTGCCTTGAGCCCAGTACTCTTGGTGGCCGCACCCTGTCCGACGTACCCCTTCTGGCGTCGTCGGCAGTACTCGACAACGCCGAGTTGGAATGCCTGGAAACTCTGCACTTGCGCCCTGTCGACGTCGAAGATATGTATCCCGCGACGCCGCTGCAAAGCGGGTTGATATTGGCCATGATTCGCGATCCCACCGACTACGTCCTCCACAACATTTTCGACATTCGTGGCGACTTGGATCTGGCAACGTTTCGTGCGGCCTGGAAGAAGCTCACTCATCTCGAGCCTGTTTTGAGAACTGCGTTTGTGTCCACGATTGGTGGAATTGTTCAAGTTGTCACGAAGGGCGATTTGAGCGACTGGACAACGTGGCATCAAACATGGCAGCTCGACGACCTGGATGCGGCCACCAAAGCTTTCCTAGCTAAAGATCGCGACCGAGGATTCTCACTACAGGACAAATCATTCAACCGATTCACCGTGGTCCCGGTGTCAGGTATCTGGTGATGCACTTCAGCGCTGTATCTCATTGTGTGTTTGCCCCGCTAGATGGAAGCACTCGTGTCTTTTGGACAACTCACCACTCTGTTGCAGAGGGCTGGTCGGGCAGTCTCCTCGTGAATAAATTGCGCAAACTGTGCCGGGGCGAAGCCGTGCTACCAAGTGTGTCGACCTTCAAGGATCACGTCACATGGCTTCTGCAGCAAGACAAGTCGACCAGCAAAGCGTTTTGGAAGTCACACCTCCAAGGCATCGACGATGCGGGCACTCTCAGCTTGCCTCGCCCACCCACGCAAAGACTGGACAAGGGCTTTAAGTATGCCTTGTCCAAACATGTGATCGAACTACCAGAACTGAACGCGGTATGCCAACAACTCCATGTCACCCCAAGCAGCATCTTTCGTGCGGCTTGGGCAATTTTATTGCACCAATACACGCGCACCAATTGCGTCAAGTTTGGTTGTGTTGTGTCTGGGCGCGACACCGACATGGACGGCGTTGAGAGGTCTGTACACTCCGTCGATTTATCACTCTGGCTCATTGAAACATTGTAGTGTCGTCGGTGTGTTGGTCAACACGATTCCGATTGTGACTAACGTATGTGTTGATCAAGCCGTTGGGGACCTCGTGCGATCGATGCATGCATCGTCGTTGGACCTGATACCGCATTCCCATTCGAGTCTCCAAGACATTAAAAAATGGTCCGGCGTGCAAAACGAACTCTTTGACTCGATCATGATGTACGGCAGCTACCCAGAAGCCGACTCGAACGACGGCGGCAAGTTTTCTTTGGATTTTCAAGTCGCTGACGAGTATGTCGACACGAACCTTGGTCTTGTTGTCTACCCAACGGGCGACCGTTTCCGAGTGGAGCTGTGCATGAACGTCCATCAAGTGGACGAGCGCATGCTCGACTTGATCGACCAACGTTTTTTGGCGATTGTCGCCAAAGTCGCGTCGCCGTCGTGGACCGTCCAACCAATGCAGAGTTTAGATGTGCTTGAAGCCAACGAAGATGCCCTCGTGATGACGGCAATCAAGGGAAGAGAAATTCCTCTACCGTTTTCCCTTCTCCACAATGGATTCGAGGCCCAAGCTGCGCGGCGGCCACAAGCAACGGCTCTAGAATTCCTCAAAGATTCACTAACATATGCTGAGTTGAATTCGCAAGCAAGTCAAGTGGCGAGCCAACTGACCGAGGTGGGTGTTCGTGTCGGCACTCGAGTGGC